ATTAAGTTACGTGACGTTACTAGCATGTAATCACGCTTAAAAAGTGGTGTTCGGAGACTTTTGGTGACCCTCTGTATTTTAATGAATAGATCAAATATTTGTAAAAAATTTTCTATTAGTATGAAGTTTACTGTTATTAATAATCCTTACATTAAAATCTAATTTAAATAAATTATTATAATTATAACTTTGAATTAATAGGAATAATATGAAAGTATAAAGAAATGAAAGTTTAAAGAAATGTTACACTTATAAAATTTCTCTATCACTCAAATTTAACTTATTTAAAACATAGAATACTCATAAAATTCCTCTATCATTCAAATTTAACTTCTTTAAAACATAGAATGGATGCTTTATTATTAATACTATTTAATTTATTAAGATTAATTCTCATTATTTTAAACTAATTTAATTAAATTTAAATTTTAAATTTTATTATAGATTTTATTATATAACTTAAGGTAACTTTATAAAATATTTTTATCTGATATCTTAAATATCATTTATGTTTTATGTAAACTTAGATAAAAATCAGTATTTAACATATAAAAGAAGTTTTAATTTTAAATTATTCAATTTTGATTTTTTTTATGTATAAATAATTTAATATTTCTGAATATATATGATTGGCCAATGATACACATATAAAAAAATTTATTGTTTTTTTTTTTGCTCAATTTTTTTTTTTTCCATTATGACAATCCAATTATCTGAATTATTTTTCGGTTCAGGTCATATATGGTCAAAACATGAAAGATATCTCAATAGTGTACAAGGTTCCCCCAATCTTTAAATTTGTTATTATCATTATTCTTATTATTTCCTATAAAAATGAACTAAAGAATTTTTTTTTTTTTTTTCGATATTTTAAATAGAAATTTGGTTGTTTACAGCCTTATGGACTACAATATTCTTTACCCTGATATATAGTTTGGCCGGAATATGGGCTTGGGTTGTATTTCGTAGTTATAAATGGTCATTTCTGATCCCATTTGGATTCATTGTCGTCGCGTTATTAACGGGTTTTGTGGAAGGAACAGCGTTTGGTTCGTAAACTATTTCAATTCTTATTTAAATAAATAAATAAATATATATTAACCTTTAAATTATCAACCCAACAATTGTAGGGTTAGTGCTGGCAGTTATTTATTTATATGGCGATTTTGGTATGACGCTTTGGATTCCATTTTTATGGGGTTTAATACAGGCCTTGATTCTTCTCATGGGATGTTATTCAACCATTACAAGTTTTTTATAAGCACGACTTATAATTTTTAATTTTTTAATTTTTTTTTTTTTATTTAATTTACAATTAATATAATGCCAAATGTATGAATATATATATATATAGATAGATAGATATATTTCGGGTAAAAAAAAAAATAAAATAATTCAATTCAATTATTAATGCAAAAATTTACAAGAAAATAAAAAAGGGGGAAAATATTCTATATACATGAATTTAACGATTTAAGGTGAAATTGGGAAGTAATTGGCTATCTTTATAACCAATAAATGAAAATTGAAATTCAATCTCAAATCCTTAAGAGTATATTAAAAGTAAAGTATAAAGTTACAAAATTAACCAATATTACCGGTAGGTATCATAAGATATTTATTTTTATTTTACAATGTCTTATCAACAATTCAATAGGATATTTTACTCTGATCGATCGCGGTTAATAAATTCTCTCAAACTTGAACATTAACTTTATCACTTTTACAATTAGGTTATTTCTAGAAAATAATTTTTTTTAAAAAAAAAAAAAAAAATAAATCAAATTTTTTTTTTTTTTTGTTTTGTATAAGATTTAAAACTATCAATATATTCAATATATTGTAAAATAAATTGTCACAAATTAATGTCTCATGAAAGTAAATATGCCTCGAACCATTTTGCTTTTAACCTATAAATTATCCTCCTTTTTATTCTTCTTCTACATATAAATCAGGAATTGCAACAGGTGTAACGGGTGGAGAAACCCTTGTTGGAGAAAATATACTTTCAAAGGTAGATTTGCTAAATATCCCTGAATTGGGTCCTGATAATACTTCTTGACTTGTTTGATTAACAATGAAAGAAGTAGTTTTATCGAAAGAATGAAAGGATGCTCGAGAAGGATCAAAGCAATTTTCAAAATTACCAAACGAAACGAAAGGGTCCGAAACATGTGACGTAGAAGAATAAATCATCGTTGCTCTCTTTGAAGAGAATTTTGAAGATATTGGATTAAATAAAATTCCTTTCGGTGACAGAGGATTTTGATCTATAGGGGAATATGAAGACCGGGGGTTATTTTTAAATGTGTTCAAGGATGAATTACTTGTCTTTGGTGACAAAGGTGGAGGTTTCGAAGTACGTCTCGACATAGTTGTCGGTGAAGATTCTTCGCTCGATGGAGTAGTCGGTGAAGCCATACTTGCATATGATAACACTGAAGATTCGGATGAAGCGGATGATGAAATGGATGATGAAGCGGATGATAATGCGGGCGACAAAGAAGGTGACGAGGAAGAGGGTGTAATGGATGCAGTGATAACGTGGAACCTTCCGGCTCCCCCTTTCACAGTAGCTTGTCGTTGTGATGGTATAGTTAAGAATCCTTCGGGGACAAGAAAGGGAGTTTTTGGAGGAGCATCCTTATTATTAAGATTACTAATACTATTAAGAATATTACTGTTATTACTATTACTATTACTATTACTATTATTTTGATTAAGATTACTTAAATTCCCTCTGGAGAGACTGTTGCTACGGCGATGACTTAGAAGTAGGTCACTTTCTATACTTGAGCTACGCGAGTGCGTTTTCTTCAAATCGTCCTTTCCATAGGGTTGAGGGGTGTTTGGAATCGCATTACTATTATTAATTCCCAATTTCAAGGTTTTTTCAAATTCCACCAACTGATATACTAGGCTCATATTTGGACTGATATAAGGACTTCTATCTTTAACAAATTCATAAGCCTGGTTAAGGGTCATACTATTAGCCTTCATAACGTATCCGATGATCAGCGAAGCCGAACGTGAAACTCCGCATTGACAGTGAACGAGAATATTTCTACCAGCTGAACGAGCTTCATCGATAAATGCAAATGCAGATTTGAAATCCGCGATAAGATTTTCTTGGTTGTGAGTCCAAAAGAATTTTTTATATTTCAAGGATCTAAATTCTGATGTTGCAGGAACTGTAAGTGGAATTCCTGATAACATCGCTTCGTGAGCGACTTGTGGAGACGATGAACTAGGACGCATCGTCAGTGAGATTCGTTTTTGCAACAAAGAATTTGACCTGAAAATACCAAACGGAGATGATGGTACGGTCGGTGAGTCAAGTTGCATCGTTGGGGATTGGATTGCTGTTTTGAAACTATCTTCCGAGGAAACCGAGGAGGCGGTTGGAAGGCTTGGCGAAATTTGTTGTTGATAATCGGAGTAATATGAAGAATTCACATTTGTAATCTCTTCCAAGTAAGGATTTTCAACTTCCTTCCCAACATTTAAAATGAATTCGACATTAATCCTATCAAGCATTGAACGGTTCGCAGCATTTAATTCGGAACCAAGATACAAATTTGGTAAAATTTGTATTGGCTCATCTTTATATGGCAAATCTTCTCCGATTGCATTTTCGGTCTTTGACATTAATGCCATTGGGTCTGCTACGTTAGAATTCGAACCCTTATTTTGATAAACGCATATAGGAGTTGAAGGTCGTCTATTATGCGTATTGGTCGTAGAAGTTGGAAGTAATTGAGGCGAAGGAGGAGCTGAAATTGAAGAACGGACCGGGGGTACAACCAGTTGTAAATTTTTCATATTTCTACGTCCCTTGGAAGAAGGAGGACTTGGTAACGGACTTTTTTCAGCCGATTGATCTTCATGATTGGCAGAAATTGTTAATTCATTAGAACTATCTTTTTTCGTAAAAGTTGTCGTCGACATTTTCCATGAAGCTGAACCATCCACAGAGAGGTTAATACTTGAAGGGGCCATTGACAATCTTTTGTGTAAAGGGGTTTGAGGAACTTTGGATTGATCTATATCTTGTAATAATGAGGAACCGAACGGATATGATCTTTTTAATGCGCTGGTCATGTAATTTAAGAGGACGTAACTGGCAAATTATTCTGAAATTTGCCTCTTCTTTTTTCCCTTTTTTTTTTTTTTTTTTTCTCTCTCACGCGCATACATACTTATATATATTGATATATATATGTACTTGTATATAACTTGTAGATTCTTTTTCCTTTCTTAATTTGCTCGGTCGCGGCTCGACAGCTAAAAGGGTTGCTAATACTTTAGAACGTTTTCTTTCAAATTTTACGAACGGACATTTTAAAACATCTAGAGACTGTTTGTCAAGGTTGAAATAGCTCTTTCTATAATCTATTTCTAACAAACCTCAAAAAAGAGAAAAAAAAATTGTACAGCTGGACTGTTCAAAAAATTCTTAATAATACTATTTAAAACGCTTTGTTTTGAACCATTTCCTAAGAAAGAAAATCCCCTCCCCTTTGTAATTCTTATAAAGTTATTGACCATAATTGAAAGTTCTTGAAAAAAAAAAAAAAGGGAAAAAAGAAGAGGCAAATTTCAGAATAATTTGCCAGTTACGTCCTCTTAAATTACATGACCAGCGCATTAAAAAGATCATATCCGTTCGGTTCCTCATTATTACAAGATATAGATCAATCCAAAGTTCCTCAAACCCCTTTACACAAAAGATTGTCAATGGCCCCTTCAAGTATTAACCTCTCTGTGGATGGTTCAGCTTCATGGAAAATGTCGACGACAACTTTTACGAAAAAAGATAGTTCTAATGAATTAACAATTTCTGCCAATCATGAAGATCAATCGGCTGAAAAAAGTCCGTTACCAAGTCCTCCTTCTTCCAAGGGACGTAGAAATATGAAAAATTTACAACTGGTTGTACCCCCGGTCCGTTCTTCAATTTCAGCTCCTCCTTCGCCTCAATTACTTCCAACTTCTACGACCAATACGCATAATAGACGACCTTCAACTCCTATATGCGTTTATCAAAATAAGGGTTCGAATTCTAACGTAGCAGACCCAATGGCATTAATGTCAAAGACCGAAAATGCAATCGGAGAAGATTTGCCATATAAAGATGAGCCAATACAAATTTTACCAAATTTGTATCTTGGTTCCGAATTAAATGCTGCGAACCGTTCAATGCTTGATAGGATTAATGTCGAATTCATTTTAAATGTTGGGAAGGAAGTTGAAAATCCTTACTTGGAAGAGATTACAAATGTGAATTCTTCATATTACTCCGATTATCAACAACAAATTTCGCCAAGCCTTCCAACCGCCTCCTCGGTTTCCTCGGAAGATAGTTTCAAAACAGCAATCCAATCCCCAACGATGCAACTTGACTCACCGACCGTACCATCATCTCCGTTTGGTATTTTCAGGTCAAATTCTTTGTTGCAAAAACGAATCTCACTGACGATGCGTCCTAGTTCATCGTCTCCACAAGTCGCTCACGAAGCGATGTTATCAGGAATTCCACTTACAGTTCCTGCAACATCAGAATTTAGATCCTTGAAATATAAAAAATTCTTTTGGACTCACAACCAAGAAAATCTTATCGCGGATTTCAAATCTGCATTTGCATTTATCGATGAAGCTCGTTCAGCTGGTAGAAATATTCTCGTTCACTGTCAATGCGGAGTTTCACGTTCGGCTTCGCTGATCATCGGATACGTTATGAAGGCTAATAGTATGACCCTTAACCAGGCTTATGAATTTGTTAAAGATAGAAGTCCTTATATCAGTCCAAATATGAGCCTAGTATATCAGTTGGTGGAATTTGAAAAAACCTTGAAATTGGGAATTAATAATAGTAATGCGATTCCAAACACCCCTCAACCCTATGGAAAGGACGATTTGAAGAAAACGCACTCGCGTAGCTCAAGTATAGAAAGTGACCTACTTCTAAGTCATCGCCGTAGCAACAGTCTCTCCAGAGGGAATTTAAGTAATCTTAATCAAAATAATAGTAATAGTAATAGTAATAGTAATAACAGTAATATTCTTAATAGTATTAGTAATCTTAATAATAAGGATGCTCCTCCAAAAACTCCCTTTCTTGTCCCCGAAGGATTCTTAACTATACCATCACAACGACAAGCTACTGTGAAAGGGGGAGCCGGAAGGTTCCACGTTATCACTGCATCCATTACACCCTCTTCCTCGTCACCTTCTTTGTCGCCCGCATTATCATCCGCTTCATCATCCATTTCATCATCCGCTTCATCCGAATCTTCAGTGTTATCATATGCAAGTATGGCTTCACCGACTACTCCATCGAGCGAAGAATCTTCACCGACAACTATGTCGAGACGTACTTCGAAACCTCCACCTTTGTCACCAAAGACAAGTAATTCATCCTTGAACACATTTAAAAATAACCCCCGGTCTTCATATTCCCCTATAGATCAAAATCCTCTGTCACCGAAAGGAATTTTATTTAATCCAATATCTTCAAAATTCTCTTCAAAGAGAGCAACGATGATTTATTCTTCTACGTCACATGTTTCGGACCCTTTCGTTTCGTTTGGTAATTTTGAAAATTGCTTTGATCCTTCTCGAGCATCCTTTCATTCTTTCGATAAAACTACTTCTTTCATTGTTAATCAAACAAGTCAAGAAGTATTATCAGGACCCAATTCAGGGATATTTAGCAAATCTACCTTTGAAAGTATATTTTCTCCAACAAGGGTTTCTCCACCCGTTACACCTGTTGCAATTCCTGATTTATATGTAGAAGAAGAATAAAAAGGAGGATAATTTATAGGTTAAAAGCAAAATGGTTCGAGGCATATTTACTTTCATGAGACATTAATTTGTGACAATTTATTTTACAATATATTGAATATATTGATAGTTTTAAATCTTATACAAAACAAAAAAAAAAAAAAATTTGATTTATTTTTTTTTTTTTTTTTAAAAAAAATTATTTTCTAGAAATAACCTAATTGTAAAAGTGATAAAGTTAATGTTCAAGTTTGAGAGAATTTATTAACCGCGATCGATCAGAGTAAAATATCCTATTGAATTGTTGATAAGACATTGTAAAATAAAAATAAATATCTTATGATACCTACCGGTAATATTGGTTAATTTTGTAACTTTATACTTTACTTTTAATATACTCTTAAGGATTTGAGATTGAATTTCAATTTTCATTTATTGGTTATAAAGATAGCCAATTACTTCCCAATTTCACCTTAAATCGTTAAATTCATGTATATAGAATATTTTCCCCCTTTTTTATTTTCTTGTAAATTTTTGCATTAATAATTGAATTGAATTATTTTATTTTTTTTTTTACCCGAAATATATCTATCTATCTATATATATATATATTCATACATTTGGCATTATATTAATTGTAAATTAAATAAAAAAAAAAAAATTAAAAAATTAAAAATTATAAGTCGTGCTTATAAAAAACTTGTAATGGTTGAATAACATCCCATGAGAAGAATCAAGGCCTGTATTAAACCCCATAAAAATGGAATCCAAAGCGTCATACCAAAATCGCCATATAAATAAATAACTGCCAGCACTAACCCTACAATTGTTGGGTTGATAATTTAAAGGTTAATATATATTTATTTATTTATTTAAATAAGAATTGAAATAGTTTACGAACCAAACGCTGTTCCTTCCACAAAACCCGTTAATAACGCGACGACAATGAATCCAAATGGGATCAGAAATGACCATTTATAACTACGAAATACAACCCAAGCCCATATTCCGGCCAAACTATATATCAGGGTAAAGAATATTGTAGTCCATAAGGCTGTAAACAACCAAATTTCTATTTAAAATATCGAAAAAAAAAAAAAAAATTCTTTAGTTCATTTTTATAGGAAATAATAAGAATAATGATAATAACAAATTTAAAGATTGGGGGAACCTTGTACACTATTGAGATATCTTTCATGTTTTGACCATATATGACCTGAACCGAAAAATAATTCAGATAATTGGATTGTCATAATGGAAAAAAAAAAAATTGAGCAAAAAAAAAAACAATAAATTTTTTTATATGTGTATCATTGGCCAATCATATATATTCAGAAATATTAAATTATTTATACATAAAAAAAATCAAAATTGAATAATTTAAAATTAAAACTTCTTTTATATGTTAAATACTGATTTTTATCTAAGTTTACATAAAACATAAATGATATTTAAGATATCAGATAAAAATATTTTATAAAGTTACCTTAAGTTATATAATAAAATCTATAATAAAATTTAAAATTTAAATTTAATTAAATTAGTTTAAAATAATGAGAATTAATCTTAATAAATTAAATAGTATTAATAATAAAGCATCCATTCTATGTTTTAAAGAAGTTAAATTTGAATGATAGAGGAATTTTATGAGTATTCTATGTTTTAAATAAGTTAAATTTGAGTGATAGAGAAATTTTATAAGTGTAACATTTCTTTAAACTTTCATTTCTTTATACTTTCATATTATTCCTATTAATTCAAAGTTATAATTATAATAATTTATTTAAATTAGATTTTAATGTAAGGATTATTAATAACAGTAAACTTCATACTAATAGAAAATTTTTTACAAATATTTGATCTATTCATTAAAATACAGAGGGTCACCAAAAGTCTCCGAACACCACTTTTTAAGCGTGATTACATGCTAGTAACGTCACGTAACTTAAT